TATTCTATTCTATTCTATTCTATTCTATTCTATTCTATTCTATTCTAATCCTAGGAGATATACCTTCACTGTATCCCATACATTTTGTAATGAGGTCTCTTCCTTTCTATTTTCCTTGAAGAAGAATGTCATTTCTTTTTCTGCTATTTGAATTCACTTATATATCTCTTCATCTTCCCCCTCACCCCAAAAATCCACCATAGGATAGGAAGGCAGACATGTTTTTGTCCAAAATCAGAATGTATCTGGTAACATCTTGTAAGTTCAACCTATCTTATAAGCCATGGACTTTGAGATACAGCTGATAAACAGAGATAGAACTCAAGAAATTTAAAAAAATGGCTTTCAAAGGTCAGGGGATTGGACTAGAAGACCTCCAAGCTTTATTACAGCCTTGGAATTCTGTGATCATGCATAGCTTGACTGGTTCTGAACACTTTTTTTTCCTGTTGGGCCTCCAGTACTCTATGCCTCCCACTTCATGTTGTCTCAAGAATTGGTCTGTCTTGTCAGATATGATCTGTGTCTAATTGCAAATGTAGTATCATTTGTTCAAAAATTTATTGAAATCAGGAAGAGCTGGATAAGCTGAGTCTTCTCTAGTTCAGATACGAAACACTACATTACCTGCTTGCAGTGGCAGGAGAAAAAAGTCTAGTCCCTATTCTTGTCTTATTGGAGCACACAAATAGGGTGGCAACTGGTGCTTGTGTTATCTTGTTAATATCTCCTACATTTCCATTGGGGAATAACTCTTTTGACTCAGAGTCTTTAATTGATGCTATTCAAATATTATCTTTAAGAGGTAATTTAGAGATCTAGGACGACTTTTAATACGTATAGAAAATCTTTAAAAAAACCAAAGAAATGTGATTCATAAAATTTAGGCCAAAGTAATAAAAATATGAAACAAGAATAAACTTAATTCTAAGTTCCTGTTGGACTTTGAGTTAGTTTAGAGCCCTTTCTTGGGGTGATTAGTAGAAAGTTTTTATTTCTAGTGGCTGGAGTTCTCTGAGAACAGCACAGACCAACTTGGGAAGTAAGAAATGTGGTTCTCAGCCTGCACTTGTCTTCTTGCTTAGTCTCTTATCTGGTACTGGGAGAAAAATAAGAAAATAAGGCTTTGTGTAATATATTAATACCATGACTTCAAAAACATTTTAGGACAGTTTTTTTAAAAAATCTGTGCCACAAAATTGTAAGTTATTTAGTACCAGCAACTATTAAGAGTATTATCTTAATAAGGTGAATACTTAAAAGAGAAATACTTGGATACCAGGTGACTAAACTGGAAAGAAAAAAAGAACCAGACCAATCCAACAACAAAGTACACCTGCCAAAAAACTTTCCTGGGTAAGTATTTCATAAGTGCAGAAAAGTAGAGCCTACCTTTCATAGTTGTGTGGAATGGGTATATCTATCAAAATATATAGGACTACAATCAGAAAAACAATCCAGTCATGAGGTGATCTAAAGATAAACATGACAAAACTCTTCCTGTTACAGATACCAAGTGCCCCCAAGCTCATTGCTCATTTGTCAAGTCCATTGAAATAGTCCATCCTAGGGGTTATTAGTCAGGTTATTACTCCATCTCAGAGGAACAGTAGGTAGCTGTTAAACTTTCTTTTGTGCCAAAAGGTTTTTTTTGTCCTTGTTTGGACAAACCAGGTGGAAGATACAGTCCTAATCTATGAATTTGCTCAAGACTCATCCTGAACATCATTAAATGATTCAATCAATCATTTTAGATCAGTAGAAAATTAAAGGTACAATTTCACTCTAGGTCACATCTCAGGTTTATTGTTGAACAAACATGGAATCAAGTCCATAACATAAATATGAGGAATAAATCATAGTTCCCCAAACTTTCTACTTTTATTGATTATCCAAATAAAGCTACTGTCAAAAACAAACAAATTTCCTAGTTCTTAATTTAAGCAGCTTAAAAGAAAGATACATTCATTGACAATTTTAAAAGCTGTTTTTCACAGGGTTTTCCTCCTCCAGATTATATCTTAAAGCCTCCAAACCAATTTCAGGCCTAAAACTCACATTGAAAGTCTCTTAAAATATCAAGAGAATGGCAGTGTTTGCAATAATATGAAAAGTTTGTTTCTTTAGGAGGCAGTACACCCCTGTTTATACTGAGAATAAGATGCCATTCATGAACCAATTTCCATCACCTGTAAATTGCAGATAGGATGTTTTTTTAAAAATGTGGGAATTCAGATGTTAAAAAAAAAATCCATCCAATAAGTGTGTCTTATTGTCGGGCTGACAACGTCTCCCTTGCCAAGAATGCATCAAGGTCATATTCCTTTGAAGCAAGGTAGTTGCAATAATTGGGTACAATCTCAAACACCTGGAGCACTATTTGTATACCATCAGCACTGACAAAATCATCATTACTCAATTGCAAAAGGCAACTTTACTGGAAAGAGCTTACATCCATCCTGCAATGATACTTTTTAATACCATGAAACAATTACATCTAATTTTCTTGTCCTTGTGAAGGGCTCAAATGCCAAATTCAATCTAAATATCTGGCTGATTGTACAATCAACCATAGTAATGATAATGCATGATCATTAATCCTAATAGCATAAACAGACTCTTGCACCATACAAATACTAAGATACTTCTCTGAGGATGCTATTCTTACAGCATCCTTTTCTCTTAACAATAACATGTTGGCTATAGTCTAGTCTCTCTGTGTATTTGTGCACTCCATATATATAACTTTAGTCCAGTTATTGTATTGCACTAATGTTTGGAGCATTTCCAAATACATTTTCCAGAGTCCAACAGCAGAGCATATGAAGAGATGATTTGAAAAAGCTTAGGTGGATTAGGAGTGACTGTTGGATCTATTTTTCTTTCTCCATATTTCTGACTGTGTGGATGAATCAGTTTCTTCAATGGCCAATGGAAGAAATGGTTTTAGGCTGCTGAGACATCTCCTGTAATTAAATGATATAAAGAAGAGATGCAAGCATTTCTACTAGGCTTTGTTTTCTAATACCCCTCCTCCCATTCTGAAGCATTCATAGCAGTTATTTTAACACATGCTAATACCCTTGGTTATAATTTATGCTCTGACCACAAAAATATAAATGAAAGATGGCCCTATGAACAGAAAAGTAGGATGCCTATTTATCAGATCAAGATTGAGGCATATGTATAGCAGCATCAATTGCTGAAGACATTCACCTTGAAGTCAATATTAGCATACTAAGCTCAACTTTAGGATTGTAAAAGCCCATATCTTGTTAGATAAAAAGTAAAAAAGGGTAGGTAAAAAACAAGAATGGGAAGCACAAAACTGATTATTGATTATTCATATGTTAATTAAGACTTTTGTTGGCCAGGCAATGCATAGTAGCAGACAATTTGCTCAATAACTTGGAGGCTTCCTCTTTCTAGGGCAGGAAATTTCCTGGGGCAGCTTTCCTTGTCTCCATCTTCAGTCTTGGAATAGCAGCATTTTATGAAGGAGAGGTGAAAGTGAACATACCTCCAGGTTGATTCTTGCTTTCTTCAGCACATTGTATGTTCCAGTCACTGTAGCAAAGAAAGTGTCAACCATAATTTGAATTAGTTTCTTTGTCCCCAACTCATCTCTCTGTTAGTTGCCTAACTTGGCAAGTCCATTGTGAAATGTTCCTTTCTGATATATAGATTTAGCAAATGAAGATGAATAATTTTGTATTCAAAAAACTTAGCCATTGTCATTTTGGAAATAGGGTTTCATAAGGATTTTTTAGCCCTTTTGTCTAATTTATAACTAATTGAAACTTTCATTAGCAGATTTAATTTTCCTTCTTTTCATCAGGGAATAGATTGAGACAGGCATTTTCAGTTCCATTTCAATGGCATGTGGAAAAGATTTCCAAACTTGTTGGACATTTGACACTTGAAAAATTCTAGGAAGATATCACTCCTTCCAACACAAATTTCCCAAGATCCTGCAGGAGCAGCTACTATAAACTTGGAAGTTAAATATGTCACTCCTACCCCTCATCTGCATATTCAGTGGCTCAAACTCATTCAAGAATGGTTTGAGATGCAGAGAATAAAACATAGTGGGGTGAGACTGTGACACACAGACAGACCCATTAATGCTGTAGAGTTATGCTCATGGGATGCTTGAGTACCAGAAGCAGGACATTGGTCCTATCCAATCCATTCCATGAAAGAGGACACTTACAGTGAGTGAGAATAAAGTTCTCCAAATTTCCTTTAATATGGTTAGCACTCTGCACATGATTCTCTTGCACAGCCAACTTGGCTCTAAGTATTTGGATTTCTTCATCTACTGTCTGATCCTGTGAAAACAAGTATTTTATCTCTTAGGATGACTACAATAATTGCATATTATTTAAAAAAGGAAGGAGCTTATATTTTATCAAGTAACCTGGATGTGTACATTCCTCTGAAGATTAGATGGACTGTAATGTTTCGTATATGAAGAGAATGTATTTTAAAATTCATCCCAGTCTTCTAAAATACCATATTTGTAAGCTATGTAGAAGTTACTGAGCCAGTGTAAAAGTTTATTTATGGTGGTAGTGGGAAGTTAAGGATGGGCATATCTAGAGCAGGGGTCTGCAATCTTAAACACTCAAAGAGCCATTTGCTCTAGTTTCTCAAAGAAAAGAAAACACCAGGAGCCTACTGGTATTACTGGGTGGGTGTGGCCAACTCAATATCATTCACTCCCACCCAGTCATCTCCTCTGCAATATGGAGCAAGTCTCCATCCCCCGCCATCACCCTTACCTTCTCAGGCCAGACAAGGAGTGATGGGGAGGGGAGGGGCCAGTCAATGGTGGATCAGCCAACAGAGAGCCGCAGCAGAGGGCCGAAAGAGCTGCATGTGGCTCCAGAGCCGCAGATTGCAGACCCCTGGTCTAGAGCCAAAATGCATAGAGCTATTTGTTTCCTGTTCTTTTACCTCTCCATTTTAATTTCTCTGTTTTGTGATTACTAAGCTATATCTCTATGTACTATTCTCACTGGTTTTTGCATCTCCATCAATACCCATAATTTATCTTGTATTCTTGTGTTACTGTTGACTTCTTGTATCCCCTTTTTCTTGTTTCCTCATACATCAATCTGCCATATTACTGCCTACCTATTCTTGTCATAGAGCTTGTCTACCATAGCACAAAAGGGTTTCTCAGTCCCAGCAACTCTAAACTGTTCAAAATGATTACAAGAGACTCTAGATGGAACAATGTGGAACATATGGTCGGCTGCAATGAATTGGGCAAATAGGGCCATGTCTGCCATACCACTACAAATTGAAGAATAGGGGAAGTCGTATCAGCTTAACAATGATGCTTCCTTGTCCCTCTTATATTCCCTTAATTCTTCTTAACACACTTAATGAATTGTTGGTATTTTAACATGCAGTGGGATCAGAGGTGGTATTCAGCTCATTCAGACCAGTTCAAGTAAATTGGTAGCGAAAATTTTAATTAGTTCGGAGAACCTGCAATATCACCTCAGGCTGGCCCTGTCCCCGCCTACCTGGCTGCCCAGTCACCACTTGCCCCAGACCACTCGCTGCTCACCCTGCCTGCCCACTCACCCCTCCCCAGTCACCCCACCCCGCCCCACCCAGTCGCTCCTCATCTCGCCCGCTCATCTGCCATTACTAGCCTACCTTCACCCACCATTGCTGCCTGCCTTCATCTGCCATTGCTGCCTTCTGTGGCCCTGATCTCCCTGGGTGAGTGAGCCTACAAGCAAGCCCCAGTTGAGTTGACTCCCTGCCCAGCCTAGGCTACCGCAAGCCCTAATCGAGTCGACTCCCTGCCCAGACTACCTACCTCCCTCCACTGCCACAAGCCTTGGTCAAGTGCTGACTCCTGGGCTGGCCTAGGCTGCCGCCTCAGGGTAGACACAGTGAAGCTCAGCCACCCTTTGGACCTGGCTCTTGCCATTCTTCCACCTGCATGCCACCCGCCCGCTCTCCGCCTTGGGTCAGGAGACGTGCCCCCTTCCCCGGGGCCTCTGTCCACATGCCACCTGCTCACCCTCTGTCTTGGGTCAGGAAATGCACCAGTCCCTGGCTCTAGCCTTCCCCAGGGCCTCCACCCACATGCTGCCCTCTCAGCCTTCACCTTGCTCACCTTCTGTTCTGAAGGACCACCTTGTTGGGGGGGACACGGTGAGACTTAGCCACCTTTCGTGAGAAGCCTCCAGCCGCCAGTAGTTTTTGGCACAAGAAGCCTCCAGCCACTGCCGGCTCCATTCCAGCTGGCAAAGAGGCGGCGGCTGAAGGCTTCTTGTACTGAAAAAGAGATGGCGGCTGCAGGCTTCTTGCACCAAAAATACTGAAAACTACAGGCCAAAAAAGAGGCCTGAAGTCCCATCGTCACCGTCACCGCCCAGTTCTTTGCATCAGCTGCACACGTGAACCCCATTGCCTGCTGCTGTTGCTCATGGCTAGACTTGGCCAGGAAAACAGCCTGCTTCACCAGAGGGACTCGCCCACATGCCGTCTCCTCTCAAAAGATTCCGGCAAGATGAAATGTGTGCACGCTCTGAGTGTACGCCTGAGAAGGAGGAGAAGACTTAACTGAACTTTCCTGCCTCCCTTTGCAGCAGAGCTGTTCAGAAGGCAGCCGCTGCAGTCTGTTCCTTTAAGGTACTACGATGCTGCATACCATCCGACTGTGCAAAGGCAGCCCAAAGGAAAAGGGCTCGACTCTCCTGGTCCCAGTCACTCTGCACACTGAAGCCAGGTGGCTGGAGAGGGAGGGAACTATAAAGGGACAGGCCACGGCGGCTGCCTTCCGAGCAGCTTCCGAAGCAGAAAAAGTTCAGTCAAGTCATCTCCTCTGTCTTGGCCTTAAACATACACACAGAGCAAAGACACACACACCTCATAGCACCGGGACCTTCTTTGATGAGACAGTGCATGGGCAAGTTGCTCCGGCACTGTGAGGTGTGTGCGTGTTTGCTCTTTATGTATGTTTGAGGCCAAGAAGGAGGACTTGTCTGAACTTTAAAAGAACTTGGCCTAAGGTTTCTCATGTATTCAGGGGCTATACCTCTCCCAACAATGAGTTCGGCAGCAATCCAACAAAATGTCTTCCAGCTCTTCAAGATTGACTTTAAGAGCACCCTAGTTTTAGACTCTTTTGCTGCTTGTTGTGGCTTGCTTGGAAAGACTCCCATCCTCGTTTTTGTAGGTGAGAGACTGAGCAGTTGTACTTTTATCCCCACTGCATGCCAAAATACCCCCTCACATGGAAGAAGCCAAGAGCAAAAGTAGCAGTGGCAAGAACGACAGGGGTATGTCCCTCTGCAGTTCCCTCCCGGGTGATAGCCAGGGCTTCACCTCCTCCTCTTTTCCTCATAGGCACCGTGTCTCCCTCCCTTCACATTCCTTGAACTCACTGGGAGTATCGAACCGGAGTGGGAAAGCGCACATTGGAGTGAGAGAGCGCAAAGTTGGCTGCTATGGAGTGAGTGCTTTGGCTTCCCCTCTTGCTCCTCACATTCACCCTGAGCTGGTGCAGTTCTTTACTTGGGCAGCCTGATGGCTGCAGCAGCACCCACAGCAGCAACAAGCAGCACCGCAGCAACAAGGTACAGTAAGATTTGGTGGTGCAGAAATTGTTCGGTAAAAAATAGGGCATCTCCAAGGGGCTTCTGGCAAAACAAAAAAAAAACCATCCCAAAACAAAACCCATTTGGGAGGAAGACTCAGCAGGCAGTCCCCATCTTTAGATGGGCTTTTATTTTGTCAGTCCAAGGGGGGGGGAAAGATACATAGGAAATTGCCCTGTCTCTGCAGCATCGGTCATGTGATTGAGTGGGCATGGCCAAGGTGCTGTCCCACCTTGCCCTGAGTGATGTCGAGTTGGCCACGCACACTCAGTCACATGACCATCCAGTCACACCCACCAAGTCACACACACCAAGCCACGTTCACAGAACCGGTAGTGAAAATTTTTGAATCCCACCACTGAATGGGATGCAAGTAAGGGGCACTTGGAAATCATCCTGAGTCATCTAAAAAGCTAAAGGGTTCTGAGTAAAAGAGGAAGGGAGATAAACCATCTTGAGGAGTATAGAGGCGAAGAGGCATGTTCTTATCAAAGGACACAGCTCTAGGATTAGTACACAGGTCACAAGCTGGAAAAATGGTTGGTTTCCAAACACCCTATTATCGTTGGGTATGGGGAGGGGCTTGCAATATACTGTCATAGATGGAAAAGCCCAATCAGCACTATTTAAACTGGACTGGGAAAGGTTTTTAGAATTCTACAATATTGAGATGGATTTTCAGCTATTATTTATCTAGGCCAATCAAATTGTCACCTCAAATTTTCCAATGGGAGAAACAGCTCTGCAGTAATAGCAAGATACTTCCCTTTGTGTGTTGCCTTATTTGAGCTGAGCTGAGAGGCATGGGAGGTGGTGCTCTCCAAAACATTGTAAGGAGGGAAGTTGACTTCTCCAGGATCTGATGCAAAGTACTGGTATGGACAAGTAATTTCTTGATGTTTTTTTGGCAGAAAATCTGTGAAAATAGAGAGGTTGGTTAATGCAAATATCTTATATTATTTTCCTCACTGACTTTCTTGGTAGCGTTTGATATTTCCTTCCTCCTTCTGGCAAGGGACTATGGTTTTCTCACTCTTGGGTTAGAAGTTTACCATTGTTTGCTTGAAAGAGCTCAGTAGTGCACCATTCCCAATAATATGGAGATGGATTATGAATTATTAGAATCCATATTATAATATATTCAGAATATTGGCAAAAACTGTTTCCAGTGGTGAAAGAAGGAACCCTTGAGGAATTTAAAACTCAGTGAAAGACTACTCTGTTCTCAGCAACCAAACCTTCCCAGTTACCATGTTGTCCTGTGGTTTCAGGTCAGACCGCAGAAGTGATGCCATTTGGTGGATCCAAGTCTTAGCATCCAAAATCTGTTTCTTAAGAGTATTATAGTCCTGAAGGTATCCTATGACATGAATTCCTTGGTTCTTCACATCTTCTGTCAGCAGCAGCTTATGCGTCCCTACAAAGAAAGAACCATGCTGTCAGTCTAGGTTGGTAGTTACAGTTCTGGATTGCTCTGGCATCAGCAACTATAGTTCCTGAACAGTGACTCAGTTGCAGTTTTCTACAACCACAAAAAGAAGAGAAGTATAGCAATTTGTGCAGGAAACTTCAGCTGGACCTGCTGCTTTCTGAAATCTTAGAATATTTTAACTTAATATTTATTTATTTATTTATTTATTTGATTGATTGATTGATTGATTTATATTGCCGCCTATTCGCCCATGGCAACTCGAGGCGGCTTACACAATGTAAAATCATATTTAAAACAAAAAATAAAAATAAAAACAATAAAAACTAATAAAAAGAATCAGATAAATTAGTAAAGTACAATAGAACAAAAATTGGGAAAACAAAAAAACAAAACAAACAAAAACCAACTCCCACCCCCTACCCCAACGACAGCAGATCACACTACCCATTTGATGAATTTCATCCCTTTCTGGGTTCCCGAGGCCCGCTGGCAAAACCAAGTCTTCAGTGCCTTTTGGAATAGTATTAAATGAGGGGACCATTCTAATCTCTGGGGGAATGATGCTCTAGAGAGACGGAGCCACCATGGAGAAGGCTTTTCTTCTAGGTCCTACCAGGTGTATCTCCCTCAGGGGTGGGACCCGCAATATTCCCTGCCGCCTCACTCTAATGGGTCGGGTAGATGTCACTGGCAAGAGATTTCCTCAGATAATCCGGACCCAAGCCATGAAGGGCTTTAAAGGTGACAACCAGTACCTTGAATTGCACCCAGAAGCAAATTGGCAATCAATGCAGCTCCTGCAGGAGAGGTGACACATTTGCACACCGGGGTCTGCATAAAACCACGCGGGCCGCTGCATTATATCCTGTAGTATAGTAACAAAGCTAGAGGGGGAGGAGTAAGGACATACCAGAGACTGCCTTTTGCAGTGGTCCATGCTGTGCTTCATAGACACATAATTCAGCTTGCTGGGTCTGGAAGAGTGTTCTGTTTTCTTTACACTGCTGCTGAAGCATTATCATTCTGTGTTGAAGCCTGCAAAAATCCCCCCACCCACAAACAGGAGTCATGACTGAGGTTTCTGTTGTTGGCTAAACTGTCATGTTACTGCACTGCTCTAATGTTCTGCCAAAATCTGCACACTGAAGATATCACTGAAGTCTCATGGAAAGACACTGCAATCCCTCACAGACAGAATCATCGGATTAGAAGAGAATTCTATTCCTGGGATTCCTGTCCCGGAACACCCTTTCCTGGGCAGGAATTCTCAAACTATCCTAGACAAATGGGGTATTTATTAAGCATTGCGATAAATTCCTAAAGGGAAGACTGCAAATCTGACTCAAATGATTTAAATCTGAATAATGTTATCAGTGGATTTCTTTTAACAACAAAAACTGTGGACAGATTAAATTACATCACCCAAAGAATCCCTTATCTCACATAGTTTCTGCCCTTTGAAGTTCCTCATCCCTGTACTTTGGGAAGTTCATATAGCCAGAAAGATGGAGAAAGCCCAAACTTGCAGCCAAGAAGAAGCTCACTGAGCAATTGTGGAATTTTTGCAGGAATGCAGGGGTGGGATTCTACCGGTTCAGACTGGTTTGGTAGAATCGGTTGTTATGATTCTCATTAGTTCAGAGAACTGGTAAATCAGGCCCTTAGCTGGCCATGCCCCTCTCCACTTGCTTCTCCACTCTTTGCCTAGTCACTCCCAACATTGCGCAGATGCACAACAATCACTGCATTCTTTCTCCACCTGCCTCGCCCTGCCCCTCCTTATCTTGGCCATGCACCATCACTGACTGCAGTCTGTCTTTGCCCACCCACCTGCCTGCCTGCCAGCCATTGCTGTCTGCCTTCCGCCATGATCTCCCTAGGTGAGTGAGGCTCCGCAAGCCCCAGTCACCTACATGCTGCTGCCATCGCCAGTCCCAGTTGAGTCCCAACTCCTGGGCCAGCCTAGACTGCCACCATTGTGCTATTGCTGCTGCCCTCACCTTTACAGCCACCACCACCACAAGCCCCAGTTGAGTCCTGACTCCCAGGCTGGCCAAGGCCACCACCGCCATACCGCCACTGCCCTCAGTGTTTGTGGCCTAGCTAGTTCCCCCCCAACCATCCCTGTCTGGCTTGCTTAGCCACCAGCACCATGGCTCCATCCCATGTGGCGCTTGTGTCCTAGCAAGCTTCCCCTCCAACCGTCGTGGCTGTCTGGCTTGCTTAGCCACCAGTGCTGCAGCATGCAGAACTCATGGCCTAGCAAGCTTCCCCCCACCCACTGACCCCAGCCTCCAGCTTACCTTGCTTGCTGGTGGCAGAGAGGAAGGTGAGCCAGGGCTGATCCGTTGCTGCTCAGGTTCCCACCAGCCTGCATCTTGGCCCCCACCTGGATTCTCCATAGCTGCTGGGCCTTGCCTGCTAGGAGTGAGGGCAGGGGGATGACCAGGGAGCACGATGCTATGCCACCAAGCCCACATTGCCCCTCTACCTGCCACCCCTTTCCTCTGCTAGTGGCAATGAGGGCGGTGTAGCCTCATGCTTCCTGGTTGCCCCCCGCACTCAGCTAAAACGCTTGGCCTAGTGAGGGAGGGATGGGTGGCAGAAGGGCAATGCGGGCAGTGTAGCCTCATGCTTTCTGGTCACCTCCCCCCCAAGTAGCCGCAAGCCCCAGCAGCTGTGGAGAATCCGAGCAAGGGATGAGATGCGAGCTGCCAGGGATCCAAGTGGCGATGGCCCTGCCTTGGCTGGCTCACCTTTCCCTCTGCCACCAGCCGCAGGAGGAAAGAAGGTTGCAGGCAGTCGGGAAAGCCCAAACTGCTGCCTAGCCCAGACCTGCCAGCAGGGTGGGTAAAGCTACAGTGCACACCACTGTCCCCAGCCTTGAGCTTACCTGGCTTGCTGGTGGCAGAGAGGAAAGTGACCCATCGCTGCTCGGGTCTCCATCAGCTTGCATCTTGTCCCCTGCCTGGATTCTCTGCAGCTGTTAGACCTTGCCTGCAAGGGGTGGGGGTGGGGTGGGTGACCAGGGAGCACTACGCTATGCCTCCCAGCCTGCATTGCCCCTTTGCCTCTCACCCCTTACCTCTGCCAGGGGCGATGTGGGGATGTAGCCTTGTGCTTCCTGGTTGCCTTCCGTACTCCTCGGCAGCTGCGAGCTCAGCAGCTGCAAAGAATCTGAGCAAGGGATGAGATGTGGGCTGGTGGGGAGCCGACTGGTAATGGCTCTGCCCTGGCTGGTTCACCTTACCCTCTGCTACCAGCCACGGGAGGAAGGTAAGTTTGGAGGCAATTGGGAAAGCCCAAACTGCTGCCTAACCCAGAGCTGCTGGTGGGGTGGGCGAGGCTGCAGTGCACACCTTGCTTGAAGTTCCCAGCTGGGCCCTTTCCTTTCCCCAAAAGAGGGAGGGAAGGAAGTCCCACCTACGTCCCCTTTGTTGGACCTGGAAGCCTTGCCTGCCGGCTTTTCCGGGCAATGCAGGACCAGTGTAAATGGACAATCACACCCAGTACCTGGGACTCTGGGAGACTGGCCAGGAAGAACCCTCATCATGAGTGACACTGCCGGGTAGTGTGTGTGTGTGTGTGTGGGGGGGGGTTTCAGGTGGATCTCCTAGCTTTAGGAGGAGAGAGGGAAGGAGGAAGGGAAGGGATAGAGAAAGAGAGAAAGAGAGGGAATGAGAGAGAAAAAGAAAGAAAGAGAGAGAAAGAGAAAGAGAGGAAAAAATGAGAGAGAGGGGGGGAAAGAGAAAGAGAGAGAAGGAAGAGACAAAGAAATAAAGAGAAAAGGGAAAGAGAAAGGAAGAAAAGGGATAGAAAAAGAAAGGGGGGATGGAAGGAAGGGACAGAAAGAAAGAAAGAAAGAAAGGGAGGAGAAAGTGAATGAGATATATGGCTGGATGGATAGATACATGGAAGGAGGGAGGGAGGGAGCGAGAAAAAAAGAGAGGAAAGAAGGACACAAGCCCTGGCTTCAGAAGACTCTTTGTAACAGCACAGCAATCTAGGGCTGGCCTGCAAGGGATCTCGGAGGTCATCTTCTAGTCCAACCCCCTGCTTCAGCAGGAGATCCTTACAGAATCATAGAATAGCAGGGTTGGAAGGGTGTGTGTGTGTGTGTGTGTGTGTGTGTGTGTGCATGGCTGTCAAAACTCCAAAAACAGGTCAAGTAGCTCTGGGGAGGTCAGTCATAAATTAAAACACTTGCTAAGCAACCAGCCATTAAGCAAGGACCACTTGTATTTGGTTTGCCACTCACCTGGCCACACCCACCCAGTCACATGACAGCCAAGCCCAGCCGGTCACGTGACTACCAAACCATGCCCATCTAGTTACCAAACCATGCCCAGTCAGCAAGCCGCGCCAACCCAGTCACATAACCACCAAGCACATCCACAAATTAAGCCATGCTCACAGAACAGGTTGTTAAAAGATTTGAATCCCACCCCTGCAGTAATGCCCTATAGAAATATATTCTTCATTCTCCTTTCAGATGCTTGTGGAGAGCAATGCTATTTCAAAATGATTCACATAGAAGTCACAAAAATGGATGTTAGTCCATTCTTATTTTTTATTTCACTTCTTTCTTTTGTCTGTTTTCTCCAGTTATTTTTTCCTAAGTCTATGTTTAATAACTGTTTTTAGAAGAAATAAGCCGATAAATTAATTTCTACCAAAAGGTCTATTAAAGAAATCCTTTCAAGAACTATCTAAGAATAAAACCAAAAATAACAGAACATCAGAATAACAGAGTTGGAAGGAAACTTGGAGGTCTTCTAGTCCAACTCACTGCTCATTCATACAAGCTGTTGTCCAGTGTCTTCTTGAAAGAGTGATGGAGTACCCACAACTTCTGAAAGCAAACCGTTCCACTGGTTAATTGTTCTCATTGTTGGGAATTTTCTGCTTAGTTCTAGGTTGCTTCTCTCCTTGATTATCCAACCAGTGTTTCTTGCCTTGCCTTCTAATGCTTTGAGAAATAGGTTGACCTTGTGGCAGCCCCTCAAATATTGAAACACTGTTATCATGTCACCCCTAAGTATCTCTTTTCACTATACTAGATATAACCAATGCCTGCAAAGGTTCTTCATATGTTTTAGTCTCCAGGCCCCTATTCATCTTAGTTGTTCTTTTCTGTACTCTTTTCTATAATATGTGATTAAAACTAGACACAATGTTCTAAGTGAGATCTTACTAAGGATTAGTGCTACTAATGCTTCATGTGTTCTTGATTCTATCCCTCTGTTAATGCAGCCTAGGATTACATTGGCTTTTTTAGCTGCCGCCACACATTACTGGCTCATATTTAAATGATTATCCACTAGAGCCCCGGGATCCTTTCTCACAGTTATTGCTGTTGAGCCAGATTTCACCTAAACTGTACCTATACATTTTTTGACAAAGTGTAAAACCTTCCTTTTCTCTACATTGAATTTCATTTTGTTAGATAGGGCCCAGTGTTCAAGTCTGTTGAGGTCTGTTGAGATCCATCTGGATCTTGAGCCTAACTGGCTATACCTGGCAGTTTAGTGTTGCCAGCAAATTTGATGAGTTTCCTTTCTATTTCCTCATTAGATCATATATGAAGATAATTAAATAGTACTGGGCCTAAAACAGAACCTTGGGATATACCACTGCTCTCTTCCCTCTTTGTAGAGGTAGTTCCATTAAGGGCTACACATTGAGTGTGGTTTGTCAGCCAGTTATGAATCCATCTGGATTCTCAAGGAATTTAATGACACTGTAGAAATAACATTATTATTCAAAATATTTTATGGATTAAATGCTGTGGTTGAATTGTGATCCTCAATAAACTTCTGCCACGATAATTTTTTTAAGTCATTGAATTGCCAGACCAGTTTTTATTATGAAGATGCACATCACTAAAAGCAGCAGTGGAAGAGAATTCTGGCCATCCAGTCAGTGAGTTTCATAAATGCGTCTAATTGTGATACCCTTTTCTATGCCCTTTTTTCAGCAGATTCCCACCAGCTTTAGCTCACCTAGAATTGTTCATTTGTAAAGCCATGACCTCCTTTTGAAGCTGTACAAGATCTTGTTGCTTGCTCTGAATGTCTTCCTGTAGTTGCTGCCGCTCAATCCGCTGCCATTCCAGCTTCATCTTGCCATCTTGGAGTTTTGAATGTAACTCAAGCTGAGCCTTCTGCAGGTGCTCTAACTCTGAGAATTGAGAGAGCTATCTGAGGTGATCTTATAATACATGAGCTTATTAAGTCTTATAATATATCGATATATTAAAAGAGTTCTCTACTGATCCCTCATGATCCCACCGAAATAGTTGTAAAAGAAATAAGAGGCTACTCAGGAAAAGTTTTTGATTCAAGCAAAAATCACTTGATATTGGGAAGGAGAAGGAGAATGGAAGCATTCAAATACTATCTTCTGTTCCATTTTGTCATCATTTTTCTCCTTCATAATTTAAAATTCTTCAATTAGGAAAAAAAAACACAAAATAGCTGGATTATGTCTGCTTGGAAGTGTTGCTGGCATAAGAATGTTGCTTTCTAGATGTTCGATCTTTCCAATAGCTAAATTTTACAAGTACTGTAAGTTGATATGCTAGTAAGTAACAAAATTAATGAATAGACAACAAGTGACAACTTCAAATCTCAACAAACAAATGCTCTGTCTTACATATTGGCAAAAAAATCAGAAAATAAAATACAAGCTAAATGAACATGACCTTGTAGATGACCCCCACTCTGTCAAGGACCTTGGAGTACTCATCTCTAATGATCTAAGTGCTAGAGCTCACTGTAACAACATAGCCAAAAAGGCATTAAGAGTAGTAAATCTAATCCTCTGTAGCTTTTTCTCCAGTAATATTATACTACTAACTAGAGTGTACAAAACATTTGCTAAACCAATTCTTGAATACAGCTCATCAGTCTGGAACCCACATTGCATATTGAACATTAACACAATTGAGAGATTCCAGAGATATTTCACAAGAAGAGTCCTCCACTCCTCTACTTGTAACAGAATACCTTATGCCACCAGACTTGAAATTTTAGGCTTAGACAACGTAGAACTACATCGACTTTGGTCTGACTTAAGCATAGTACACAAAATTATCCATTGCAATGTCCTACTCATCAATGACTACTTCAACTTCACCACAACAATACACGAGCACATAATAGATACAAACTCAAGGTAAACCGCACCAAACTCGATTGCAGGAAATATGACTTCAACAACAAAGTGGTCGATGCCTGGAATACTCTACCTGACTCTGTGGTTTCTTCCCCAAACCCCAAAAACTTCAGTCTTAGACTGTCTACTCTTGACCTCACTCCATTCCTAAGAGGTCTTCTAAGGAGTGTGCATAAGCACATCAATGTGCCTACTGTCCCTGTCCTAATGTTCGCTTTTATTCTTATCCATTTCATGTATTAATATTCATGTTTATACTTATATGTTATCCAATACATGCTCGACAAATAAATAAAATAAAATAGAAGGCAATCATTAAAAGAGCTCAGAATTCAGAAATCACTTGCCCTCCTAATGGTTGGATGTAATAAAACTTTATTTGTAGGCACAAAATAGAATGGTTTTTCTTTACTAGATTTTTGTACTCAAATTATGTGACTCAAAATACTAAAGACTAAGCATGTTTCCATACTTAAACCTTTGTAGCACTGCTTTTTAATGAAAATGAAGTTAAAGTGGCAGTCCCACACATAACTTCATAAAATTCTTCATTGGCCAGGCACTTTCAAAATATCTAATAACTTTCAATTTTAACAACTTTAATAACAGTAACTATTAATTTAGTACTCTGTCAAGGATCTTGGAGTACTCATATCAAATGACCTAAGCGCCAGAGCTCACTATAACAGCATTGCCAAAAAGGGATTAAGAGTTATAAATCTAATCTTATGAATCTATGAATCTATCTATCTTATGAATATTTCCTTTGGAAATATTGAATTGCTAACTAGAGCATACAAAACTTTTGCTAGACCAATACTCAAATACAGCTTATCAGCCTGGAATCCTCACTGTATATCGGACATTAATACAATTGAGCGAGTCCAGAAATATTTCACAAGAAGAGTACTACACTCCTCTGCTTGTAACAGAATACCCTATATCACCAGGCTTGAAATTTTGGGCTTGGACAACCTTGAACTACGCCACCTATGGTTAGACTTAAGCGTAGCACACAAAATTATCTGCTACAATGTCCTACCAGTCAATGACTACTTCAGCTTCAACTGCAACAATACAAGAGCACACAATAGATACAAACTCAATGTAAACCGCCCCAAACTTGATTGCAGGAAGTATGAGCAAAAGAGTGGTCAATGCCTGGAATGCACTACCTGACTCTGTTGTTACATCCTATAACCCCCACTCCTTTAACCTTAAACTATCCACTATTGACTTCACCCCATTCCTAAGAGGTCTGTAAGGGATATGCATAAGTGCACAATCATGCCTACCGTCCCTGTCCTATTGTCCCCATTTATTCGTACCTATTTCTTGTATTCTGACTCATGTTTATACTTATACCTATTATCTTGTAAGCGATCGACAAATCAAATCAAATCAAATAAATAAATTTGTATTTATCAAAATATGTTGCCAATTGTAATCTTCTTATTTATACCATTAAACCACTTTATTTTTTTTCTGTTAAGTTGAACTAGGTGATAGATAAAAATGGAGATAAGATCTAGGTACTGATGATAGCACATGCATGTTATCTCTGACACTACAATAACAGATGATTCTGCTTCTCTCGCACCATTGCTCTTTGCCATTGAGGTGAGATATATTTCCAATTGTTCCCGCAAAAGGTCATTGGTATAGATGGACTTCTCTAGACGCTGGCAGAGAGTTTGGATCTCAAACATGTGTTCCTCTAGAAAATCAGCACCTATATTCATTCAAAAACAAAGCAAAATGAAAAAGAGAATCATTATAGTGTTCAGAAGATAAGAACTAACTTTGGCACCTTAAGAAATTCATGAAGGGACTTTGTAGGTCATCTAGTTCAACCCCCTCCAAACAGGAGTCTCTACACCATTTCTGACAAATAGCAGTCCAATCTCTTCCTGGAAGTCTCCAGTGATGAAGCTCCCTATAAGCACTGGACTTTTCCCCTTCAACCGAAAAGAATGAACTTCTGAAAGCCAGGTATTTCAAAAGTAATTCTTTATTGTAAGGAAATGAATCCAGTACTAGTCAAAACAGAATCTAAGATGCTTCCAGGCATACGGTAATAAAGGGAGTTAGAACCCCTCCCCTTATTTAGATGTGGATGTAGTCAACAAAGAACCGACATATTAATTCCCCCCTCCCCTTCTCTGGGAACGTATCTTAGAAGAGTTTCCCAGGGGTATCTTCCAGAGCTGGAATTTTTATGGTCCCTTCTCCTCTTGCTATCTCTCCAAGAGATGACAAGTTTCTAGACATCTGGTTCCAATCATCCAGTTGTATATCATGTGCAAGTTATAAGATTCAATATAAGATTTAATATATTCAAGTTACATCAAAAAGGATTACTTGTACCAACTTCCCCCCTTCTTCTTCCATTGAAGAATGGCAGATATATGGATCTGACATACTGCCCTCCTCAAAAATTTGATAAATCCACCTGGAAGCCATAAAACATATGTTACATTTACAACTTAGGATGGTTTGTGAGGGTATTTCAGGTGGAACTTCCATAGTAATGTGGGTGCTTTTACATGTCATTTGGCTATCCACTCATTTTCTGAGGAAGGAAGGTGTTTCCAAGCTACTAAATATTGTGTGGATCCATGGTGAGTGCGCAAATCAAATTTCAAAATGTTGTTCCCCATGTACCATAATGGGAGTTGGAGGTGTGGGAAGGGGGAGTCTAAGGTTCGAAGCGATCTCTGGTTTGAGTAGGCTACAGTGAAATACTGGATGAACCTGTCTAAGTGTTTTGAGAAATAGAAGCTCTACCGTAACAGGATTAATAATTCTGGAGATGGGAAATGGCCCAATGAATTTAGCTCCCAGTTTCTTAGAGGGTTGCAACAATTTTAGGAATTTTGTGGACAAATATACCCCGGTCCCCAACTTTGAATGGTTTAGGATCACAGCTGTTTTTTGTCTGCTTGAGCTTTAAAAGCTGCTCTAGCCTCTTGTAAAGCTAGTCTGATCACTGCCCAAGTGGCTTGCAAATTATTTAACCACTCCTTAAGGGAGGGAATTTCAGGTTTCTTGGTGGGTAGTTCTGGCATGGGGTTGAATTCTTGGACTGTGGCTACCTGGAATGGGGTGAAACCAGTGCTGCTGTGGACCGAATTGTTGTATGCTACCTCTGCAAAAGGAAGGAGGTCAGTCCAATTGTCCTGTTGGTAATTAATAAAGCATCTTAACTTTTGTTCTAATACGCTGTTCGATCGTTCAGCTCTGCTGTTAGTCTGGGGGTGATTGGACGATGACAAAACCCCTGGATGGAGCCTTATTGGTTTAAAAACTCCCACCAAAATGTGGATGTGAATTGTACACCCCTATCTGAGATAATCCATTGGGGAGCTCCATGAAGGCGATAAATGTGTATTAAAAACATCTTTGCCAAGGCCTTGGCTGTTGGGATCTTTTGGCATGGTACAAAATGAACCTGTTTTGAAAAAAGATCAGTTACAACCCAAATGACAGTATTTCCTGCACTTTCAGGGAGCTCCACTACGAAGTCCATAGAGATCTCTTTCCAGGGTGCTGAAGGTTCTGCCACTGTTTGTAAAAGTCCAGGAGATTTTTCTTGTCTTCTTTTTGCAGCAGCACAGATGGGGCAACTAGCAACATAGTTTTCAATATCCTTTTTGAGAGATGGCCACCAAAATTGTCTTTTGATGAGGTGCAGGGTTTTTACAAAACCAAAGTGTCCCGCTATTTCTGAGTCATGGCAACGTTTCATGACTTCCTCTGGCTGGTAGGGACGTAAAATTTGTTTTCTACCCAGGCTAGCCCATCTTTGAGTAAGCAAGTGTCTTTGTTAGCCTGGAGCCAGTCATCCTTAAGTAGCACCTCCTTAAATATTGAAGTTGTTGCATTGTCAGTCAGTGATTCTTTCTTCTCTTGTGCCCAGGTAATTACTTTGGCTGCAATTTGGGTTGGTTGGATCATGGGTTTTATAACTTCAATCTTTTTGCTGTTGTATTGGGGTTTCCTGGACAGGCATCTGCCAAGAAATTTTTTCACCCTGGGAGATATTTGAGAGTGAAATTAAACCCTTTAAAATATTGATCCCACCTTGCTTGTTTTTCTGAGAGTTTCCGTAGAGTTTTCAGGGCTTCTAGATTTTTATGATCAGTCCAGACTTCAAAGGGGATTTGGTTCCCTTCTAGGAAATGTCTCTATGTGAGAAGTGCCCATCGCCCAGCATATGCCTCTTCATATGGCCCAACTTTGCTTGGTTTCTGTCAGTTTCTTGGAAGTATAAGCACATGGTTGTAACTGTCCACGTCCATTCTTTTGGAGTAGAATTGCTCCAACTGCTACATTGCTAGCGTCGGCTTGGATGACAAATGGTTGTTCAAGGTCTGGGTGTTTCAGGATTGGTTCTGCTGAGAACTGTTGTTTAAGTTTTTCGAATGCTGCTTGGCATTCCATCATCCAGGTAAGGGGTTACCATGGTTTGAGTTTCTCTCCCCTTTTCATTTTTAACAAGTTTGTGATGGGGAGGGCGATATTTGCAAAAGCTGGAATGAACTGGTGGTAAAAGTTTGCAAAACCCAGGAAGCTTTGCAGTTGTTTTTGAGTATGGGGCGGCACCCAATTGATGACAGCTTTTACTTTTTGTGGGTCCAACTCTATTCCCTTGTTTTTTCTTGGTGGAATTCATATTAGAGAGTTTTGCATATAGTTTGGCATTTAGGAGTTTTGTGAGAACTGCTTGGAATAATTGATGTGTTCTTTTGTTTTGGTGTAGATTAAAATATCATCGAGATAAACGAGAACCCTTTGTACAAAAATTCATGGTCTCATTAATTAATTGCATGAACACAGCAGGTGCTCCTTGTAATCCAAAAGGGAGCACTTTAAATTGGTAGCATCCCAATGTGATATTAAAAGCCATCTTCCACTCATCCCCTTCTCTTATTCTGATGCGGTATGCCTCTCATAGGTCTAACTTTGAAAAATGTTTCCTTTAGAGAGGTGGGTTAACATGTCCTTCATGAGGGGGAGTGGGTACATATTTTCCACACTGATGGCATTTAAATTTTTGTAATTCACACATAGATGCAAAGAGCCATCTTTCTTTTCACGGAATAATACTGGGGCTGCTATTTTTGGTTGGGTAGGTTCAATGAAGCCCCTTTTTAGATTTTTATTGATAAATGCTCTGAGTTCTTTTAGTTCTCTGGGGGACATTTGTGGTTTTGGAAGTTTAGCCCATGGTAGGATTTCAATAGCGCAGTCTGTAGTGCGATGGGGTGGGAATTCATCAGAAGTCTCCTTGCTAAATGCTTGGGCTAAATCCTGGTACTCGTTGGGGATGTTAATGGGTTCAGCCGGCTGACCAGCCATGGCTGGTTCCCTGTCTCCATTTTTCCCTTTCCACTGGGCTATTTTCAAATGCTACGTGTTTCTGGAAATGCACGGTTCTTCTCCTCCAATTTATTTTTGGATACCACTTCCGTAGCCATGTGATACTTCGGACTAGTGGCCTTCCATTTCTGGGGCTACAATGAATGTGAGCATCTCACTATGGTTTCCTAGTCTTATTTCCAGGTTCGGTGGCAAACCTAGCTGCCCCCCCCCCCCCGCTATAGTTCCATCTAATTGGCAAAAAGCGATGGGATTTTCCAATTTTTTAAGTTGGATTCCCAATTTCTCTGCTAGAGGCATCAGGTGCATCCCGAATCCAGTAACACTGCAACTTCTTCCCCCTTCCCTCAGCTGGGGATAAACAGTCTTAGACGTAGAGTGATTGGTTCAATTGGGTTGCTTACCAGTGGGTCATCTTCCGGATCACTTTCAGACTGGCTCGGGTCTCCTTGGAGCATTGGGGATTTTTCCTCTGGGTTGGGGGGGACCAGAACCTCACAGCTTCTTGGTTTCTCAGGCCAGTTTCCTTTCCTCAAGGGTTGGATGTTCCAGGTTTTCCCCTGATGGGTGCTCTGACTTTCTGGGAGGGGTTTTCAAATGGCATTCTGCTATGCGGTGTCCCTTCTTTTCACACTTAAAGCAGCCAGATGGTCTTGGAGTCATGGTGGTTTGGGGTTTGAATAATTCCCGCTTTCCCTGGGGTGGGGATCTTCTCCAAGGTTTGCCACTGCGGTACTGGTTACAGGTCATGTCTATCTCTGCCTCCCCTGCCATCAGGTACCATTCATGCAGGAGGTTTGGGTCCCCACAGTCCAGGCAGGTCATCATTGAGTCCATCATTGAGTCCATCTAGGATATCTTCTAGCCAGTTGACTCGGCCGGCCAGGTCACAAAATTCCTCAGCTACTCAGCTACTGGGCAATGGCCTTGCTTTACAACTCTAATGCAGTCGTGGGCTTTTCTATCGGCGAGGGGGTCTTTGAAGTTGTGGTGTAGGGCTGTCATGAATCGATTGAGGTCCCTCAGTTCTGGGGCATTGACGTTGTGGAGAGTCACCATCCATCTGGCTGCTGCACCTTCTAGGGCCAGGGTAACGACTTGTACTCGGGCCCCCTGGGTTGTGAAATTCCACCTGTATTCTTGCATGTAGATGATGACTTGCGCCAGGAAAAATCCCAGTTTCTGGGGGTCCCCATAGAATTTTACCCCCAAGGGCGGGATCTTTCTCTGCAGTTGTATGTCTCTGGGTTGGTCAGTGTTAATTCCCTGCTCTGGGGTGGCAAGAGGTCGAGTACTTGGTATGGCTTTTGGTCCTCCAGCTTGTTCCAATGCCCGATCATTCTCAGCAGGATCAGGGGTGATGGTTTTCTCACTTTCTGGTTCACTCGCTCTCCTGTGTTGGCAACCTGGTTCATCCCTCACATTGAGGTCCTCCAGGGCATCCCTCGCAAGGTGATTTATGTACCATTTCAGTTGGTCATCTGCCATGGTTCCTTGACCTATTCTTCCTGATCAGAGAGGGCCTCCAGCTCCATTTTCCACCTGGGTTTACGGTTACCCTGGGTGAGGGTTACTCCCTTGGTTCTTCCATCCCAGCTGTCTCTCTTTCCTACGCCTATAGACCACTGGGGCTTTGTGGAGTTTTTGCAGGTAGCTTCACTGTCTTTGATGGGGTACACAAAGTCAGTGTCTGGCTGGGTAGTTGTCAGAGTTTCTCCCCAGCATTCAGCTTCGCCTTGCTCCTTGCTATATTCAGACATTTTTGCAGGGTCCCCTCGGGAGAGTGAAGTTTTTTTTAAAAAAAAATTCCTCTCTGGGTTGACCTCTTTTGCAGATTCTGCTTTATGTAAACAATGGACTTTTTCCCTTCAACCGAAAAGAATGAACTTCTGAAAGCTAGATATTTCAAAAGGAATCCTTTATTGATAGGGAGTGAACCCCAGCACTAGTCAAAGCAGAATCTAAGATGCTTCCAAGTATACAGTAATAGATAAAGGGAGTTAGAACTCCTCCCCTTATTTAGATATGGATTTAATCAAACAAAGAACCAACATGTTAATTCCCCCCTCCCCTTCTCTGGGAACATATCTTAGAAGAGTTTCCCAGGGGTATCTTCCAGAGCTGGAATTTTTATGGTCCCTTCTCCTCTAGCTATCTCTCCAAGAGGTGACAAGTTTCTAGACATCTGGCTCCAGTCCTCCTGTTGTATATCATGTGCAAGTTATACAGATTCAATAAGATATAAGATTTAATATATTCATGTTACATTAGAAAGGATTACTTGTACCAACTTCCCCCCGTCTTCTTCTTTCATTGAAGAATGGCAGATACACGGATCTGACACTCCCACAACTTCCAAAGGCAAGCTGTTCCATTGGATGAAATTTCTCCTTATTTCTAGGTTGAATCTGTCCTTGATCAGTTTCCATCCATTATTCCTTGTCTGGCCTACAGGTGCTTTAGAAAGTAGCTTGACCCCTTCCTCTCTGTGGCAGCCCCTCAAATATTGGAAGAGTGCTATCATGTCTCCCCTGGTCCTTCTCTTCACTAGACTAGCCTTGCCCAGTTCCTGTGACCATTCTTCATATGTTTTAGTCTCCAGTCCCCTAATCAAAAGTGCTGTTCACTACACTTTTTCTAGAATCTCAAAACCTTTTTATAGTGTGGTGACCAAAACTGGATGCACTATTCTAGGTGTGGTCTTAAGGTTTTATAGAGTGGTATTAATACCTCACTTGATCTTGATTGTATCCCTCTGCTGATATTTATAGGTTAATAGTAGTATCATTAAAACTTTCACTTGTCATGCATTCTATTCCCAAGGAAGAAAAATATACCCAAAGATGCTATAAAACTATTCTTGAAACTGATTTCTTATGTGTTTATTTAGCTCTTACATGTAATGCCCTAAATAACCCAAATGACCAATTTATTTGTGACACTGAAATCAATTCTCACATATTCACCAAAGGATAGAATCACAGAATGTACCTGAGGGTTTCTGGGTAGGAAGGGCTGGTGGACAACATGATGCAGAGACAAGCTCCTCCTGAAGCTGCCTAAATGGATGAGTACATGGAGGAATACAGCTCTCCTCCAATTGTTCCTTAGAGTTAGTGTTCCAATCAGCAGTATTTTGCACATGAAATAAGTGAGGAACATGGTGGCAAACATGAGAGCTGTTTTTGGAGGAGACAATTGGGCCACCTGCAGGAAAAATGCCAATAAATGATTCTTTTATTGATGGCAACGTTGGATGCCAAGGTACAGAGACAAATTATCAAAGAAAAGATACATATCATGCCCACTATGACAGACAAAGGAATATGGTCCTTTTTTCTGTATAAATGTAACAAACTATTACATTGTTGTATACTGCCCAAAGTCATGTTTTGTGACATGGATGCTGCTCATATAAATTTAATAAATAAATTAACAAACAAACAAACAAAAGAAGATTAGGAAAGCTCCTATGGACAAATCTTTCGTCACAACACAGACATATCTTGAGGGGTATGAGAAATAAGAGGATATCATTGTATTGGCACTGTTCTACAGAGACAAGCTCTTCCTGTTTTTTACAGCCAGATTATAATTATGATTCACACAATCAGCCAGATGTTTAGACTGGACTTGGCATTTTTATTCACTTATCAAGTTCTTCCCAAGGGATAGGTAGATGTGTATGTTTGATGGTGTTAAAGGTATCACTGCAGCAGGGATGGGATTCAATTTTTTTAATAACTGGTTCTGTGGGTATGGCTTGGTGATCGTGTGACTGGGTGGTCATGGCCAACTCAACATCACTCATATCAAGGGGCGCTTCTCCTTGCCTGGCCTCTTGTGACCATGGGAATGCCATTGTAACTTTGAATAGTCACTAAATGAACTGTTGTAAGTCAAGGAATACCTGTACAAAAATACAAAAAGTTTCTTTGTTGCCCTAAATACCAATCATTAGATTAAAAACACCTGCAAGATGGAGTTACAAATCAGGCAGGGTGTTTAAAATAGTTAAAATGCAATGATATCAGCAGCCAACTCTTGCTCACAAAGTGAAACCCTTTAGCAGACAGGTCATTTAAGCTCTCCAGAAAAAGCACACCCAGGAGAAGCAATCCTTACATCCATTTGCACCACTTAAAGACACCAGCTGGTCTCATTCACCTGACAAGATATCCCAAGAAAATCATCCAGATTTAAGGAAAGATCACATGCACCCCAGAAAGGCAGTAAAAAAATCTGTGCCAAGCTGGCATCCTGCCTCTTGGAAGTACACCCCGAAAGGACAGTGATAACCCAGATACCACTAAAGCAGCGAAGGAAGACTCCCTCCCCAGATAGAAAAAGAAATCATGAGGCAGGAAAAAATTCAAACACAGTACAGTACTGGTCCACAGTACAGTACACAACAGTAGCTGTTGCTTGTTAAATGAATTATCAGAACAAATAGGCACAGGAACTAGCCAGATTTTTCAATCCAGTTTATTTTCAGGAACAGAGATTAACCTTTTTCCTTCCAAACAGAGCTGAATAGGGAAAATTATCCCATCAATAAACACAGGATTAAATGTTACCAAGTACAGAATTAAATGTTACCAAAAACCAGTTTTAGACCAAATTCAGAAAGGGTATGTAAACTTCAACAGTATTTTCTCCCAACAGCAGTATAAAAAACTTAAAACAACCCTTCCCCTTTAAGAAAATACCAGCAAAGAAAAAAACTCCAGAGACAGGAAGTCTAGGTGTACTGTCAAGAATGTAATAAGGGTTAACGGAGAGGCAGTTTCTGTAAGGAGGGCATAAAGATTACGCTAGAAACAATACCAGAATGTTTCCTTCCTGCCTTCCTTACAGGATTAGCTCTGTAAAGTGAAAAAAACTAAAAGGAGATTTCTTCTGACAACCAGTTCTACGAACTACTTAGAAAGTTAACAACAGGTTCTAGAGAATAGGTGAGAACTGGTAGAACTGGTACCCCTGCACTGGTACCCCTGCACTGCAGGATGTAAGCTATTTTGAATAAAGCTGCCTTCTGCAATTGACTGATGGTGATTTTGTAAATGCTGATGGTATTCAAGTAGTGCTCCAGTTGTATTGGGATTGCACTCAAGGTGCCTATTACTATTGGTACTGCCTTTGTTTTCTTTTGCTACAGTTGTTTTATTTCTATTTGAAGGTCTTTGTATTGTTATCGTCTCCAGTTCTTGTCTTCTATTCTTCTGTGTTCATGTATTGCCATGTCCACTATCCAGACATTTTGTCTTTTTTATCCACAATTGTTAAATCTGAGGTGTCATATGACAACACCTGTCTGTTTGAATTCAAAACCCCAGACACTTTAGTTTCTTCATTTTCTGTTATTTTCTCTTTTTTTACAGTCAGGCAAATGGTATTGGTTGCAGATCTTCCAGCACACCATTGTTGCTATGTGGTAATATATTTTATTAATCATTTTCTGTAAGTCCTTTGTACAGCCATAGAGATAAGGATATGCAGGCATTCCTGGTGGGAGTAGGAGTACTTTTACGCAGGAGTGTCTCATCCTGTTATCTGCAGGCTTAGAAGGAACAGGGAAATAGGTGATAATTCAAGGTACACAGCAGGGACTTTCGTCAGCGGGACTTTCTGTGCCTGTATGTTATTATCTTGTCGAGGTCATTTGTTTTCTGAATCTTCAATAAATACTGCTGCCTGAGTTCGCTCAGAGCTGGCATTTGCTCAGACGTTTCCCTGCGTCTCATTTCAAGTGCCAGACCACCACAAGTGGTGACCCCGACGTGATAGCTTGGAAGAGCTATACGTTCCGACGTGATAGCTTGGAAAGGCTATACGTTTCCCGCATCCTATACTCATCGTCGCGGACGTCGACTGGGCCCTCATCTTCTTCGCTGGACGGAGATAGATTCTTTTCGTGAGTATGGGGGGAGATCTCTCAAAGGCTCAGAAAGAGCACATCAGGGAATTGAGAGGGATCACTGGGAATAGTTTTAGGTTTGGAATTCATAGTAGAGGACATGCAATAAGTAAGAAAGAAATTGAGAACTTATTACAGTATGTTTGGAAACATATTCAGTCATATCCAGAGGGAGGTAGTATTAAAGTAGAGTCCTGGAAAAAGATAGGGAAATTTTTGCACGAAGAACCTCGTGCCCCTTCTTCAATTTTGTTAACTTGGAGGGTGATTATGGATGCGTTAGCTACTCATGAACAACCGCTCCTAGCACCCCCCGAAGAAGGTTTGCCGCCTTACCATGCAGTACGTTTGTTGCCACCGACGGCACCTCCGGATAAATCCGGGGGACTGTCAGGCGCTGGAAATATTCTATCAGAGGATAAGAGTTTACCTTTAAGAGTTCAAGTAGATGCAGTTACTGCAGCTATTCAAGAAGCAAAAAATAGAGGGGAGTTATCAGGAGATGATTTAGTGGAGTTTGGAGTAGAGGTTCAACTTAATCCAGTAGAAATTGTCGTGGACGCTGCGTTGAATCCGCAGCGGGAGTGGAAGCCTCTAGCTCTCAGGATTTTAAAGGAAGTTAAGCAAGCAGCAAAAGAGTATGGTGTTAGATCGCCATATACTCAGACGTTGTTAGAAGCAGTTGGTTATGGAAATAAAATGATTCCGGCTGACTGGAAAGCTCTGTTGAATATGATTTTAACTCCAGCTCAATATTTGGTGTTAGATCAGAAATGGAGACAGCTGGCAGTCCAGAGGGGAACAGCAAATGTTATCCCAGATCAGCTTTACGGAGCTGGTAACTATACAACAGTGGAACAACAGAGAGATGGTATGCCTGAGGAGGGATTCGTTCTTCTCCCACAAATAATTTTTCAAGCCATAGGGGCTCTCCCTGACGGCGAAGCTGACGAGAAAACTTTCACTAACATCAAACAAGGGAACAATGAACCCTATGAAAATTTTGTTAGCAGATTGAAATTGGCTATTGAAAGACAAATTGAAAATCAATTCGCCCAGAAAGAATTGCTTTTGAAGTTAGCAATAGAACAAGCTAACACAGATTGCAAAAAGATTTTAAATCCACTTATAGCAAGTGGAGAGCGAGAAATCGCAGATTTGATTAATGCATGTAGGAAGGTTGGGAGTCAGTCTTTTAACATGGAGACTTTAGCTTTGGCTTTGCAAGCAGGAAGTGCTCAAAAGGGAAAGTGTTTCAATTGTGGGAAGCCTGGACATTTTAAAGCGCAATGTCAGGCTCCTGGAGGGGGTCAAAGTCAGCAAAAAAAGAGATTAATGGGACAGGGTGTTCGTCCTAAATCAGCAGATGAGGAGAAAAAGAAGGGAATCGCAGTATATGTGAAAGAGGATTTGAAATCTGAGCTAATATGGTCGGACTTAAAAGGAAGGACTCTGGGTTTGCAGATCTGGATTAATGATATTCCAATTCTTTTAGTAGTAATATATGCCCCAAATGGAGACCAAAAAGAGTTTTTTAAACACCTATATGGAAAATTGGTTGAATTGCAAAAAAGAAATATTTGTATGGTAGGGGACTTCAACTCCATTGCTGATTTCCAAAAGGATCACAGTAATGCCGGGAAGAATAAAAAGGGGAAGAGAGAGCTCCCCAAGATTTGTAGGGAAATGATGAAAGAGCTAAATCTGACAGATATATGGAGAAGATTACATCCTGAAAAAAGACAATTTACATTTTATTCAAATCCCCACCAAACATGGACACGGATTGATATGGCATGGATGAGTGGAGAGATAGCAAATGAGACAAAAGAAGTGGAAATTTTGCCTAATGAATGGGCAGATCATAATCCAATACAGGTAATATGGAAGGGCAGGGCAAAACCAAAGAAAAGATGGACCTTAAACACTCAATTAATAAGAGAGAAAGAATATATTAATAAATTAAAGGAGGAATTGATTTTTTTTATTAAAGAAAATGATAACGGAGAAACCACGAAACAAAACGTTTGGGATACGATGAAGGCAGTTATAAGAGGCACAACAATCTCTTATAATGCTAAGAGAAACAAGGAAAAATATTCCCAACAAAACAAATTACAACAAAGAATTAAGGAGCTAGAAACCCTTCTACAAAATAACCCAAAAGAATCCAAACTGCAAAATCAGATAAGTATAGTCAAACACAAACTGAATTTAATTGATCAAGAGAAAATGACTGTGAATTTGAACTTAACTAGACAAATCTATTTTGAACATGCCAACAAGCCAG